TACATTGCAGTGCTTTTTGGGGGGCTGCAGTGATCGGACACGTGCCAGCTACCACATTACGTTTTTAGGGCTGAAACACTTTTAAAGCAGTTTAAAGTTTGAAAATGACAAATCATTATCTAGGAATTCTTCCTCTATCTCTTTTACGACAGGATGACACTTGACCTCTAAGATCTTAACTCGTGTTAAACCCAACAAGCAGACAGGCCACCTTCAGACCCTCCTCCCAGTCTCTACAGTAAAACTGTGTCCAGTGTCTGGCTTCCAAAGTGCTGCTCTAAGGGATATTCATGAGGCGTTATGTAAGGTTCATTACACTGGAGATATTAAAACAGCATGAGGATTCAACGGGCTGTCTAAGAATAGGTAGACTGGTGTGAAGAGAAATGTAAACAGTACTAATGAGCCTCTGAAGAGAGCACTGGAGAGTCACCATTAGACATGACTGTGGAAAAGCTGCAGTATAAAGAACTTTAAAATATATGTACAATATTTGAAAACATAAAAATTCCAATTTGTCAGTTTTATTGTCATCAAAAAAATAATAAGGTCGCCTTGCTTAACATCACAAAACAGATTCAAAAATCACGTGACAATCATGTCAAAACCAAACTGTTAAAAAAGTTAATTTTCTACTCTGGTTCGTTGTCCTCAACTCCCTCCTGTTGTGATATTCAAACCTCCTGGAATGACTCCAACATCTGGACACACAGCAAACACCTCCGCTGGGGCTCACATGACAAGACTAATTGTCGCATTATCACAGACTCATCTGACCTAAACATAGCGACCCAAGAATCCAGTCAGATCTCCAAACGTTTTGTAGCTAGGTCTCTCAAGACAGAAACCCAAATCTGCGGTCTTTCACACTCATCTAATGACTCAATTGTACAGCATTTTTCCTGAGTTTCACATCAGATTATAAATCCCCTGTTGCGAACCGAGGGTGGCGTTGCCTGGTAGAGTGAGCCTCCTCTCACATGACCACTGCTCTCTCTCTGCATTGTCGCTCTATCTTAATATAAAATTAACCAATAGCAAGCTCCTATTATCTTTTCCCGTCCATAATTATCTTCTCTCTCATCAATCAGCAAGTCCACACATCTGTTGTCCTAAATATGGAAAAAAAAAAATCACCTTTTTTTCCAACAACGATCCTCCAACTCCCAAAGACTCATACGCACAGATGCAGATGTGACCTCTCCCTTCAGCTGCTCTTGTCCCCAAAACCCTTTTTGAGCACTGATCCGGATTGCCTCACACAGGGACGATGCGCTGCCCTGCTAGTGTCACAGTCAGCTGGCAGCATTAGGGACAACAGGCCTCTACATACACCATTCCAGAGCTCATTCTGCCTGCGTGACAAATTCCTCAGCACTTTGTAACTTAGAGGAGTGTGCGTGTGCATGCATGCATCTGTGTGTGTGTGTCTGACAAGACAGAACCAGTCGGACGACTATAATCAGCTTCACGAGTGATAAAAGATGTTTACACTGAATATGTTTTCTCTTACAGAGCTGGTTCTCTGTTGAAGTACTCAGTAGAAAACCACATCCCTTTCCCCCCGTCTTAGGAACTCAGAAGTGAATGTCTCTGCTCTGTGTCTGTTGCTATTATATATGACACCTAGACACAGCTCTTTTCTTTACCATGGTGTATTTAAGATACTTTAAGGAGATGATGGAGAATTTTCATATTGTGCAGCTTTTGGAAAAAAAATTCTGTTATCAATACCTAGAACTACCCTGGTTAGAACCTAAAGGTCCAAATGAATAACATAAGCTTCATCTCAACCATCAACAACAGCCAAAAACACTCTCTTAATCATGGTGTATTTTTGTTTCAAAAGTGCACATCGTTCTTGTTTATTCATAGAGCGTAACCTTTGTTTATCGGTATATTTAAAATCGCAGTCTTTTTCGTTTCATTAAATTTCCATGTATGGCCTGCCGTAGGAGTGGTGTGTGGGACGTTGAATAATTAGCGACGCTGAAAACAAGTCTGCGATTGTGTCTCACGTGAATGAGTATGTAAAAAAATAAATAAATCATCACGAGTCTGTCTCACTACTGTTGTATCTCCTTGGACTAATTTGACTTTGTTTTTGGGAGAGGCTAAATTAAGTTCTGAAGAGAGAGCTCACATTTTAACACACCAGTCATAGAGTGTGCATTGTGTTTACCAGGGTAGGAATTTTAGGAAATCATATAAAAATTGAAAATAAATATAATGACATAATTAACAATATTAAAAACAGATAGTCTGACAGAAGGACAGAAGACAAGGTAGGAGAGAAAAAAAAGTACCATATATGGCAAAGACATCACCTAGCAACCAGCTCAGCCCAATTTTCCATGACACACACACACAACTGCGAATGCAAAATGGCATTGCAGTGAGTTTGTGTTTGTGTGTCTGAGCATGCATGTGTGAGCAGGTATCTGTTCACGTCACCGGGCATACAAATTGTAACTGGTTTGACTGGGAGCTGACAGCGGGGCTGCTGATTTTACAAGCCACACACACACAGGCCACACACATACACACATACGCAACGTACACATACACACCCTCTTTCAACTAATTACTGTACATTTGACAAAGAGCCTTTTACACAACAGTTTGTGGACAAAATGTGATGTTTTAGCAAGAGCTTTTACCAAAATGCCAGGCTACAGCCATCCTGTTTGTTGCAACAGCACCAAGTGCAACACTTGTTGCTCATTTCCTGGTTGTCAATGTAATGTAATTACATTACATTACAATGTCAACTGTTGTGTCAGAGGAAATTCTCGTGGCTGAAATAAGGAGGATTTTCCACTGTGACCACCAAAGTAAAACAAAGTAAAAGGACAAATATTTGAAAGTAATTAACAGGTTATACTGAAATTGTTTTTTCTACTGTAGCAAAAATAAAGTAAAAATGTATTAGCACAGAAAAACAAAAATATTATTATCTTTTAAGCTCCAAAATGTTTAACAACTCCACATTACTTCTGATGACAGGCTCTGTGCTCCATTTGTTGATGAAGTTTTATGCATCTGTGCAAGAAAGCCACATGTGGTCTAAGACAGGAAAATCAAATCAATCACTAGGATCTATTTGTCTGAATGTTTTTCTGGAATTTTTAAGCAAAAAAGTCCCACCATTGTCTGCCATTCAACTTTACTGCTGTTTCTTTTTTCTGTTGTTTTCTGACATTTATGACAACAATAAAACCACTGTAATACCATCACATCTTTTTATACAGTTTAGAATCTTTGTTTATACCTCCATATTAAAATGTTTTGGGAACAGAACATATAAGATTACTCAGAATTTCCAGTCCAAGCTTGGATACAAATATATATATATAATTTGTACAAGTACATACAATATGACAATGATTGATGTTGATTTTTATATTTTGCATTAATTAAGCAGAAAGATATGACAATGTAAACCTGCTCTTTTTTTTCGCTTTCATAATGGGATGTATTCATTTATTATTCCAGTTTGTCATCCTCTGATGTTTGTAATTCCATGAACTGGAACAAGTAAATAAAAAAAGTAATAAAAAGCTTAAGACTCAACACAACGTGTGTTAATGTGTGAGTAAATCTGAGTAAACCCCAGTTGATTCGCTTGCTTCAGAGAAATGACAAATAAATGTATGACTTAGGTATTTCTATCAGTGACCGGAAAGTCTGAGGTGTTTGTACTGAATGACTAAAATGTCTCGAGTCTTATTGTCTGGAAATTTTAAAAACAAAAAACCAAGATCACCAGACAAGGCTGGAACATGAGCTATGGAAAATAAACTTTTTTTAATGTTAGTAATTAGGTATTCTGACTTTTTGCTGCACTTTCTGGTGTCTTTGACAGAGCTACTGATCAAACGTCTCTGCACTGACCCGCTTTGTGTTAAACAGACAAAAAAAAATGGCTTCTCTATTCTATTCCAAAGCAGATACTTCTAATTTAGAATAGAATGTTCTCATGAATCAACATGGGGTCTGCAATCCTTCCAGGGTCCAAAAGGGTATTGTAGTAGGGTTCTAACATTTTTTGAGGATTAGATTAAACTCCTAACATTTTGAGTATTTAAAATATAAATAATCTTTTAGGCCAACACACTTGTGTGAAGTGACCCCAGACAGGAACCTGGACATTCAGGATTCACACTTGGCTGAAAGAAAGAGGTGGGGACTGTCTCCAGTGCCAAGCACATCCTGTTTTTAAGACGTGTCTCATTCCAGCGTTTATAGTAAGTGTTTGAAAGCTGACTTGCTGACTCACCAAGTGCTTCCTACATGGAAATTTTGCTTCATGCCTGGAGGAAGAGAATGCCTTCAAGGTCTGTGGCAGTGATCTTTCTTCTGGATGTCCTCTGATTGCATTTATGTCGCACCATTGCAAATGAGCTGTGCAGTGTAACAAGTAGTGACAGTGACAGCAGTAATGAAGCGAGAAATCATCGGGGACACTGACTTGTCATCAGTAGGAGTCAAAGAGGTGTGACAAGGCTGAGATCATCAAAGTCTTGTGATCATGAGCCACGTGAGCTAGCTGAGAGACACGGAGGGAGTGGATGTTCATTCAGAGACACACATTTTTTCCCCCTTGTTTAAATCTCATTTTTAATTGGAGTCATTTGCTCCTATTACCAGGGGGTGTGACTCCAACCATTACTGATTTGAACCGAAGGTTAAATGAGTCCAATATCCATTACTCAGATTTACTAGAGACGAGTAAACAACATCAAAGTTTTTTTAATTAAGAAAAAAAGGCTCAGACATGCAGTGGGTTTCCAGCTAAACATCATCACACTCTTGTGAACACGTTTTTATATGTGACACCTGACTTAATGTTAGTCCTATAAACCAACCAACATTCTGATTGTTGGAAGGCACATTTGCAACATTGCTTTGCATGACGTTTATAAAGTAATAAATGAGGTAATGAAGGCTATGACTTAAACAAACAAATGTGGACTCTTATGTAATTACCAGAGGTGAGCAACAACTCTGTTAAAGGACATTTTGAAATAATCTGGTGACACAAGGTAGGGGCAATGTTCATGGCATTTCTTAAGAGCTTTTAAAGGTACACGGTGTAAAATCTAGCAACATCCATGGTGACATGGTTGTGGTTACTTAAAAAGTATTATAAGTATTATAAGAGAGGTTATAAAAGAGTATTTTTCTAATAGAAAAAAAAATCTACTACTGTATTTTAGCCATTGGAAATAAAACATAATATTGGACTTTGAAGATGGTCTGTTGTCCAACTTCTAAAAACATGCAAAGCCCTTTATTGCAGGGTGTTAACAATGGCCTGTAATCACATATCTGTTTGCATTATGGAATATGCTCACTTGTCATTATTTGCATTTCATTTTTTAAATCCAAAGCAGAAAGAGCAGATTACGATTTATTTGCTTTTACGGTAAGATTATAACTCAAGTGTGTGTGACATTTGTCGTGAGTAGAGTTTGAAGACACTCACCACTGGACCATCATCTGGACTGCACAGGGACCGGGCAGGAGACAAACTGGATTCGATATCACTGCCTGTGAAATCGTCCTCAGACTCCTCAAATGAAGACGCCGAGGACAGACCGATGGAGGACGAGTTGGACATTTTCCTCAGTGATCGCATCAGGGCTGGAGAGCCCCCGCAGCCGCTGTCTGAGCAGGGGGATTCGACATCAGCATGGGGTTCCAGACACGAGCTGACGTCCGTGGGGACGGTCAGCTGCGGCGAGTTCCCCTGTGAGCGGCTCGGGCTGGGATCCCTGGTTATGATAAGTTTCGGTATGGTTCCCGGGAAACTGGGTGTTCCTCGGTGGTTCTGGACAGAGTCCTTACTGCGATTGCTTTCTTCACCACAGCAGTTGTTTTGATCAACCACCGCTAAAGGCGGACACGAGGCGGTACTGAGGTCCGTTTTTGTCATTTCTGTCTCCGTTTGCTCCTTCGTTATCGACAGCTCTCTGTCCAAAGGTTGATCCAACAGCGAGGGAGTCAAAGTCTGCTGAAAGTCCGGGTCAGGGGTAAACGACGTAGGTGTATTGGGACAAGACCGCGTTAAAAATCGAACCTCAGGCTTGATACGATCCTCGATGCTTCCTCCCAGTGGTTGCTCTTCCATGGCCCTTGCTGGGGAATCCGAGGCATTGTCCCCCCGCACGGGTTTGGGATCCTCGCTGCCCGCACCGCCGACTTCACCAGGCCGCTGGTCAGAACCAAACTCATCAGAGGAGCCAGACGTTGGTTCTACGATGACGATGCCTCGATTAAAGTCTATATGGTCATCCAGGCCGTTTGGTGTTCCCAAACAAACCTGGACTGACCGCTGTTCCTCCGCCGCTGACACCACCGCGTCCCTCGGCAACTTTCCCACTCTGTGCTCGCAGCGCGTCGTCGCTGGGGCCGTGTTTCCGCCACCGCAATCAGCTTCTGTTTGCCCGGAGTCTCTCTTTCTCCTTCCCAGACACAACAGCACTTTATTTTTCATCGGCTTAGTGCTCGAATGGCCACTCAGTCGCTTCTCTTCGCTCCTACGTCGGTGGACACAAAGCGGTAGATGAGCTGACTCGTCCGCTTTCCTCTTCGTTCTGCCAGCCGGGGCGGCGCTGTGCGATAGACCCGAGCGAGTTTGGCCCATCCCGCATGCCGTAGTAGTAACAATAAAACCAGGACACACCTTCAGGAGTCGATTTAAAAAAAACTGAAACCACTCGTTTCGACTCTTATATACAGTCTGGCATTAGTCATGTAATCCATGTGAAACCACTGAGCCATCACGTGGTCCACGCAGTCATTTTTCACATCTGTAAAAACAAACAAAAAAATGAATCATTTAGTAAACATCTTAAACATTCTCAAATACCTGCTATTTCAGTTCAGCCACAAAGACTCACCTTAAACATACATTCATCAGATTGATAAAGAAAACACACCTCAATCTGTCTGATCTAACTGTGTTAGGTACTTATAATAATCTGTTCTTTACTAAATATTACTTTTTACTATTTCCTAGAACAGACGTATTGACAGAGCTCACAAACTAAAATGAAAATAAAGGCTTTCAAAGTAACACTGCCCTCCTGTGTCAAGACACGGGTATTTGCCAAAAATAACTAATTTACACTTAGATTAAACATTAAATGTGTGTGCAGGGAGGGGGTCATTAAAACTGCGTGCGTTTAAATGGGTGACATAAAAAAGAAATCTAAAAACTAAAGTTATAGCAGTTAATACATTTTATCAAATTGAATATTTGATGCCGAAATTAAGACAAATAAAAGCAACCACTGAACCACATTCTTAAAAGGCCTGGTGTTGCAGTAAACACACACACAGGTGTTTCTAATCCCTAATCACACCAAGCTCTTATGACACAGGAGCCTTTGTTCATATGATTAGTAACACCTTTGTTTGCAGACTATTTCCTGTCCAATGACTCCAGTGAAAATCTCTAATGAAAGTGCACTGCATGTTTAGTCTTCTGTTATAACTGCTCTGAAGACTAAAACCAATTTAAACTGTGGAGTGTGACGCTGATGTCTGGTTGTATTCTACTGTCAAATATCAGGCATTAAAATGTGTGTGTGTATATTTATATATGGATGTATATGTGTAAATATATATATATATATTTACACATATACATCCATATATATATATACTTACACATATACATCCATATATATATATACATATATATATATATATATATATTTACACATATACATCCATATATATATATACATACACATATACATCCATATATATATATACATATATATATATACATATATATATATACATACACATATACATCCATATATATATATACATACACATATACATCCATATATATATATACATATATATATATACATACACATATACATCCATATATATATATACATATATATATATACATATATATATATACATACACATATACATCCATATATATATATACTTACACATATACATCCATATATATATATACATATATATATATACATATATATATATACATATATATATATACATATATATATATACATACACATATACATCCATATATATATATACATATATATATATACATACACATATACATCCATATATATATATACATATATATATATACATATATATATATACATACACATATACATCCATATATAAATATATATATATATATATATATTTACACATATACATCCATATATATATATACATATATATATATACTTACACATATACATCCATATATATATATACATATATATATATACATACACATATACATCCATATATATATATACATATATATATATACATACACATATACATCCATATATATATATACATATATATATATACTTACACATATACATCCATATATATATATACATATATATATATACATATATATATATACATATATATATATACTTACACATATACATCCATATATATATATACATATATATATATATATTTACACATATACATCCATATATATATATACATATATATATATACATATATATATATACTTACACATATACATCCATATATATATATACAAACAAAATCGACTATTGCTCATACTATTATATATTTGATCAAATTGTAAATGCACTACTTGACCCTATCTTGAAAAGAATTGTTCAGTAAATGTGACTGATGTAATTTATACTGTTGTCCCAGCACCACCTGCAGGGAGAGAGAGGGAACTACATTCCGTATTTTCCGGACATTAAGACACACCTAAGAATACGTTGCAAACCCAGCCAAGGGATGAAAAAAGGTGCGACTTGTAGTTTGGAAAATATGGTATTCTCGCAAGCCCTTTGTGCATATTCTACCTTTATGGTAAAATGTCATTTGAAGGTGTCTTCAAATCTGCATTATACGGCTCTGCATTATAAAAGCCAATAGTTTCCACAGCAAAGCAGTCATGCTATGCCATTAGCAAGCAATTTGGTGAATGTGCTGTCAGGATGAAATGCTCTCAAAAAAGGAAATGAGACAGGAAGGACAAGAGTGGAAAGAATGGATCACTGCAGAAAAAGTCAAAAGTAAAGAACATTCTTGTGAAACCCTGCCAGAAATAATGACACGCTGCACAATGACTCACACAAAGTAAGCATTAGACATTTAACAAGTTAAAATCAGCTCGATCTGACCTTAAAGATAGTGAATGAACTAACCAACATATACATTTTTTAGGTGGTGGAATCAGAACGTTACACCTGTTGTCTAAAATGATCATATAATTTCTTTAATTTTAACTGACTAAAATTAAGATAGTCTGTTCAGGAACTTGAGCAAGTAGCTAATGTTATTTCTGGTTCTTTCATTCGTGATGCACATTTTATCCGTGCATTATTCTAGTCCAAGTTGTGTTAATTCCTGGTCCTTTTTTGTTACTTTTTTGTCTTGTCAGTTTATCACGTTTTTATTGGTTTAATGTGCTATTTTTCTACTTTTATATAAAGGTATAGGTGTATAGTAATACGAAATTATTATAATTTAATGCTTCTGGGACATACATATGTAGGGTTTTTTAAGAAATAATTTCACGTCCGGTACTAGCTACTAGAGCTACTAGTACTTGAAATAACTGTCTTTCTTAAGGGTTCACGGTTTACTCTCAGCTTTCCTGGTCGTTGTACTTGCCATAATAACTGTTTTGTTGCCGTTAAGTCGTGATATCGTGAGAGTTTGTAGTAGGTTTACTTATGCTACATTTCTGGTACAATACAATTATTGACTTTTGTTAAGTTAATTTCTCAAGGCGTATTTTAAATGCGAAGCCTACTGGTTCACTTTACAACTGACTGATAACCGAACCGTTACCGCCTTGATTTTAGTTGACAATTAACATTAACGTGGACAAGCAGGTCTACTTTTGGATATTCACGGAAAAAGACACTTACCCAAGAACGAACGAGTTCCTGCTGTGGTACATGTTAAGCAGCTGAGGTGGAAGTTTTCTTTAGTGACTGAGAGCAGAGTGTGTGGAGAACGAAACTGTGGCTTGTCTGTTCCATCCTGCAGTGAGTGCAGTGCTTTTCTTCTGTTCATCAAAAAGAGGACATATGCAGGCGCAGGCGTCGTGACGCACAGCACCAAAAAAAGCATATTTGGTTCCTCCTAAATTAAGACGTTTTAGACTTTAGTTTTGTAGAAAGTGCTAAACCAACAAATGAGTAACAATTTATTTAAAATAATGACGTTTAATATTATTTAATAAATAGAATTAGAACGCAAGTGTATATAATTTCCGAGGAGCAATGAATGCACCACTTGCAGTAAATTAAATTAAATTAAATATATTCACAAGGGAATAAACACCCAGGCTTCTGAATATAAATCAAATATTTAGCATTTCCCCTGCTTACTATATGATATCTGGTTTCTTTGCATTTATTTTGTTCTTCATTTGTACACTATCATTTGTACACAAATCATTTGTAGACTTAAATGACAACACGTAAACTCCATACTAATTAATATGTAGTTGTAGTTCGTTTTCTTATTTTTTTAGTATTACTGTCAAAATAATTCCACAACTGCTAAAATACCCAGTAGACGAACTACTGTATATTCTGATATTAAGTTTATTGTTACTGTAAATCTAAAGACCCTGTAAATATTACAGACAACATATAAACTGTTATGTCTGAATATCAAAGTTTTTATTTCTCAAGAAATACATTTTCACCCAAACAGCTTTGTTGTCAAAGTCAATTCCAAAGATGAATAAATACAAGTGTCTCCGTATGCAATTAAGGAGTTATAGCCTTTATTTGGATAATAGGTGCATATAACTCCTCACACTATTCAGTAAAACACATCAGGGTTTTAAGGTAGCCTTATTCATATTAAATTGCAAACAAACATGTTTCATCCCACTTTGTCTTTCTTACTATTTACTTACTTGCTACTAACAGTTGATGCAACCACACAGAGGATATCTGGTGTGTACAGCACCATTACAAAACAACAATGTGTGAATAGTAAGTTCTGTAGAAAGAGGAACTGGAAAAAAAAGAGCAAAAACATTAACCACGTCCACTCACTTCAACACAGAATCAACACATGACTATACAGAGGAACCTCGGTTTTCAAACTTAATTCTTTTCTGAGGCACTCTTTAGTGAACTGAAAAGTTCAAAAACTGAAACAATGTTCCTCATAGGGAAAAAGGGAGGCGTTAGACAACCGAGGTTCCACTGTATCTCACAATGGTAACAATTCTGGAATTCAGATCTATATCTGGATCACTTGCAAAATAAAAAAAAACAACCTTGATTTCCTTTCTTGATCCCAAACCTATAGCCATTAAAACTGTCAAACTCTGACTCTGGTAGTTTGAACACTAGATGGAGCGGTGTAGTTGTGTTTGTGTCATGTTAAGCCATCAGGTCCGTAGCGAGCTCTGCAGAGCTTTCATGTCCCTCAGCAGTCTCAGATTCCTCTTGCTTCTCTCACCTGGTCTTAGCTTGACTGGTGCAGCAGAGCGCCCTCTTGTGGATACGTCGTTTCTGCTCTTCCATCTGGAGTTGGCATCTTTTCTTAACTTCTTTATCTACCAGATGGACAAGAAAAGAGCAAGAGTAGAGTTGAATAAACAAGTAAATATTTGTACTGTATGGCAGAAATAAATGAATTTCAAACAGTCCCACCTGTGTTCTGTGTTTGTACAGTTTACTGATCTGATCTCCCTTCCTCTCCATTTTTAACAACAAGCTCTCCTGTTCCCGCTGAAGTTCTCTTCTTTCCAGCTCAGACACACTGTTCTTCACCTGCCGTATCAACTCCTCATGCTCCCTGGAACACAACAAAAATACGAAGAAGAAAGAACATTTTAAATGCAACTCTTGTCCTGATCAAAGTGGGTTTTAAGCCGTTCACTCACACACTCATGAGTCGCAGCTCCTCGTGTAGTGCATGCAGCAGCTCGGACAACTCTTCTCCGTTAGCAGAGGAGGAAGAGGAGGAGCTGTCGTAATGCCCGTTCACGTTGTCGGAGAGCACACGGCTGTTGCAGAGATGAGGCTGGTGTTGCTTTAGAAGTGACAAAACGGACTGGACGTTTGCTCGGACTGAGTGGCTGCAGCCCACGGACTGGATGTCAGGTGAAAAAGGAGAAAGAGGGTTGAGGCCAGAAGCAGAGGCAACCAGGAAGCCAAACAGTAAAAATACAGTTTAAAAAGTCCTGATTACCGTTCCAGCAACAAATGGCACATCTCTGAGGCTAAGATGATAGTGTGGTTCTGAGTATAGGGAGGGCTGTGGAAAAGGTTTCTGAAGAGAAAATATAAAGTGTATTTCATTTTTCTTACTCCATAACTTAAATATTACAAAACCTTATTTCGATAGGTGTTTAGTGGCTCAGATGTTATTTTGAAAGATTATTTTCTCTGAGTCCACGCTAAATTTTCATCACTCTGCTGTGAACCAAACCTGAGAATTAAGCTTCTTTTCCTTGGACTGTCTGGTGGACAGGCAGGGCGACACTGACTGCAGCAGGATCCTGTTGGCCTCCAAACCTGTCTGCAGCTGAAGAAAAAGAAACAGAAGTAACATCGACATTTAGCATGGCATTTCTGAAACATTTTTCCATCTTTGATAAGACAAATGTCCTCCAAATGAGACTACAAGAAGATGTCTCACACCTGGATGGCTTTATCCTGGATGAGCTTTCTCTGGTGTTCCTCTTCATGGAGCTTCATCTCCAGCTGATGAATCTTCATCTAAGAATTAAAAAAAAAATAGGTATTACAATTTTACATAGGTGTGAACTTGTCTTTTATGATTTGTTGTCAGATAAATCCCTCTTTGAAGTGTACAGACATAATTATGGATACTGAAATCACAACTCTGGTGGTTATACTCTCTTCTTTGTTTGTGTGTACCTCAGCATTCCTCTGTGTGCGCGTGAGTCTCAGATAATCCTGCTCCAGTCGCTCCAGCTTCTCTAGATGAACATGCTCAGACACTGTGTCCAGCTGTCGATCAGCTACTTTGGTTGCATCCATGGAAATCTAAATATGAATGAGGAACATTTTAATACATAATGCAGAAGGTCATCGTTATACGAGTCCATTTTGTCCTAAATCTGTATCACAAAACCAGTTTCCAAAGTTATTTGTTCTTGATTAAAAGTAGCAGTTTTTGCTGTTTTTTAAGAAATGTATCAAAAAAATTATCTGATTAAAAATTTCAATAATTTGACAGCCCTATTTGAAGCATAAATAAACATAGTTACACAAATGTCAAGTTAAAATCTTACTTGACATTTGTGTAACTGTGTTTACAAGAGACAACATGTTAATGCAGGATGTAAGTATTTTTTACTCTGAGTTATGACCTAATGTCTCAGGAAGGATGCGACTGTTGTGTACGTGATTAAAAATAAGCCATTAACCTGCTGTTTGACCAAGTTGCTCCTGTCGGCCTTGGAGTTTCGCAACATCTTCCTCATGTGATCCAGCTGCCGCTCTAACTTCATGCAGCGAGATTCTGCTGCTGCCAGGTGTGTGATCAACACTGACAGAAGAACGACACATTATCATGACAACCAATAAAGGAAAAAAGAAAAACATGATGCAGAAAATAGAATTAAAATAGAAAAAGGTGGTTGTTAAACTTATGAGCGTTTATCACACACTAACCATGGTTGCAGTTGGTTGGGTCACTCTTATCTCTCACTTTTTCAACCTGATTACTCAGAAGTTTCTGTGCGACTTTGTCACTCTGCAGATGTGTTAGTGAGCTCATCACGTCTGCCTGTCCTTTCTCCAATTCCAACCTCCTAATCTTCTCCTGAAGATTCCTCAGGGCAGATAAGATTGCTGCACAGGCACACAGACAAACAGGTGAACTGTGTACGTACAGTCGGTGTAGGTGTAAAGCAATACCTACAGGTTTATATAAATTAAATACAAACATAATTAGAAGAAATGTAATTTAAACAAGTTAGGCTCAGACGGCGGGGTTGATAGAGAGCGTAATGACAGAAGGAACAGATGATAGTGGAGCGTGGACATTTAAGCAGTGAGGCATCATGTTGCACTTGTAACCATGGAGCTTTGAACACCGTAGTAGCTGAATGGAAACTTTCCAGTGCAGGAACACAGGAACACAACACGCTCTAATCAAAGGCATATGTACAAAAAAATAAACCAACCTGCACTGCTGCTCTCTGGGAAAGCCTTACTGGGTGATGGTGCTCGCCATGACTGCTGTGTGTGTGTTTGAGGAGTGTGACTCAGTTGTGTGTTGATGAAGGGACTGTGCACTGGATAGTCCTTATAAGATGGCAGGGACACGTTGTCACAAGTAACTCCACTGGTTGGTGGCTGAGGTTTGAACAGAAGAACACACAAAAAGAATAGTTAATATTGTGTAATTATGATATGGCAATAACATAGCGATTGGAGACAGAGAAATGCATAGAGTAAAGTGGATGAAAGATGTGATGATTTACAACAAATGACTGGTGTCATTTTCGATTGACACATAATATATATTTTGAATTAAATTACTGGTTTTAAGTTACACTTCATGACTTGAAATAATTATTAACTTTTATTGTTACTCAAGACAACAAATTTTACTAATATTACCCAATTGAATGGAATATTATATTCTCATAATTTGACAATAACCTAGAGTCGACATATCAAATATTAAATAACATTGCATTATGTATGTTTGCCTTCATCTTTATATCATTATATCTACCACTGATAATGCAACATGTAACCATTTTGTATAGGCTTTTATTAACTTTTCTTATTGTGGGTGTTTCTTTTTATTTTAAGAGAAACACTGTATATTCGCAATTATTTTTAATGCCGATTAGGGTTTACTATAGTTTTTGTGTATTTTCTGCTATAGTATTTTGTCAGAATACTGTTTTACTCCAAGGTAAACCTTACTACTTTAAGTCATACGTAAGTGTGACAAAGTAAAAATGTTTTATTTACATTTAATCCATTTAAATAACACCTGTTAAACCATTACAAGGAACTATATGTTCATGTTCTCACCCAGCTCAGGGTAATAACCTGAATTCTTTGTCATATACAACACAGTACGGTCAAGTTTCATGACACCTTTGATCAGCACCAGCATCACCTCAGTTGTAGCAACTCCTGTTCGGTATCTAACATCATGTAAACAAATGCAAATAAAATAAAATTAAACATATTTAATCATCTAATGCAAAAAGGAGTAGATTCTTACCTTAGGGTCTTTTGCAGCATCAGCTGCGACTGTTTTTGACAGATTTTCCATTGACGTAAAGCGAATTCAGGTCAGTCGACGGTGTCGAGGTGTAGAGCACGGAATATGCTAAATGGCACTTTTAAAGCAAAGCTGCGCTCGGAAAAAATGTATTTCAGTCAGACGACTTACGAGAAAAGTATTTTGTGCTGCTGCAGACGTGCGCTGTTCAAAGAAAACATCTCAAAGTTGGCTAACAACTATAGGACATAAGGAGGAGTTTGAATCATAACTATTTCAGTCTGACCCGGGAGGAGCTGGGCAGACGCATATTGACCGTGAATACGCTGAATCCACCACTACGGTGTGCCTTTTTATACAAAACAAACGCACACCGTTCGATACCCAGAAGTGTAGTCTTTTTTGTTCACAAAGACTGTTCAAGTAAACGCAAATATGCTTCAGAAAAACTACAAAGACCACAGGTCTGCGTTAAGGGGGCAGGAAGAGAACGTGCAAGACTTGCCGGGATTTTAGGGTACAAGTTGGTTGTGTCTTCAGAGGAGGTGGGTGGTGTAAATATTTGATTATTCCATGTTGTGTTAGCTTTATCACAGGTTTAAATGATGCGTACGGAAATATACTTACATGTTCAAATTCATCCCACGTAATAGCACGCGATATGTGCGTAGCTCGCATAGAAGTAATGGACTTGTAGTTAAAGTGAAAGCTATTTTACCGTCTCGTGAAATTCCACCTCAGGTACAAGTTACTGTTCACTACTACTTTATTAGCTGGTAATTACTTAGTTTGACTCACATCACTTTACATATCATTAAAAATGGTTGATTACATAGTCTAATAATCTGTATTGTTTATATTATTTCTGCTTCATAATGATTCTTTGTTTTAACATTTTAAAACAACAAACTAAAATACTTGAATTAAAAGTGATTATTTTTCTGTCTCAGAGAAGGAACGAAGAATCTTTTCTACATTACAAGTCACAAAAACAATCTGCAGAGATCACAATCACAAAAAGAAATAGAAAACTAAACGGGATCTAATGAATGAAACTGTCAAAGTTATGCCTTGTGAGTTCAGGATACTGTTAGATTGTGATTAGAAAGTATTTTTGTCTAACGGCATTACTGTTTACAGTTTGAATTGACCTCTTTGTCATAAATGATTTGCATCTTTGAAAAGATTGTAATCAATTTGAACCTCTATATTGAACTTCAGAGTGACTCAGGTTGAAGAGGAGGCTGTTTGTCCACCATCGGTCTGCTGGTTAAAACATCATGTCCTTGGAAAACACTTTGTGAGTCTGCCTAATCATATCATTTTGCTTAAATAACGATGTATATACTATGTAGCAATGTATTGAACAGATCCAAGCGTGTTCTTTTAAAAATTGTGACTGTCTGTTGGCCTTTTAGGGATGACGAGGACACGTTCAAGATACTGCTTGCTACTGATGTTCACCTGGGTTACCTGGAGAAGGACGCAGTACGTGGCAATGACTCCTATAAGACACTGGAAGAGATTCTTCAATATGCCAAGACAAAAGAGGTACGTCACAGGCGGTGTACACGCAGATGAAGTCGTGCGTCTGCGTTTGCTTGAATCAATGTACATTTAAATACCAACATTTTCTTCCTGTCTGTGTTTATACATGCAGGTGGATTTTATTCTGCTAGGCGGAGATTTGTTTCATGACAACAAGCCGTCACGTCGGTGTCTCCACAACTGCATCAGTATGCTGCGAAGATACTGCATGGGAGACACACCAATACACTTTAACATCCTGAGTGACCAGAAAGTCAACTTTAATACTACAGAGTTAGTTCATGGGTGTAAAACAAAACAACAACAAAAAACATTGTTTGTTTTCTACTATGTTTATGACACTCATTATGACCACACGTTGCAGGTTTCCATGGGTTAATTATCAGGATGAAAACCTAAACATTTCTATTCCTGTGTTCAGTATTCATGGTAACCATGATGACCCAACTGGGGTTAGTTGCCTCACTTTGGGAACTCTTCATCCTAAATTGAAATACAAGTGGGTGCATTTGTGTGTGTTTCTTACCTTCTTATGTGCTTATCTTTGTCTCAGGCTGAAGGTCTTTGTGCACTGGATCTGCTCAGTGCCTCTGGTCTTGTGAATCATTTTGGTCACTCCGAGTCAGTGGAGAAGATACAAATCAGTCCCATTCTCCTGCAGAAAGGCAGCACCAAGCTGGCCTTGTATGGTCTTGGTTTGTACACATTTTTATTTGTTGATATACTATTTGATTTTAAATGAAAAGTGGTGAATGTCCATTCATATATTTTGTAAAAACATTGTTTTTATGTAGGATCTATCCCTGATGAACGCTTGTATAGGATGTTTCTCAACAATGACGTAACCATGCTTCGACCTAAGGAAGACCAGGATAAGTGGTTTAACCTCTTCACCATCCACCAGAATAGGTGTGTGTGTGTGTTTTTCAAAGACCATAGACAATATAGATGTGTATTTTGATTGTGTTGCTTTGAGTTCTGATGAATGTAATTCACGTAGGAGTAAGCACGGCCCCACAAACTACATCCCTGAGCAGTTTCTTGATGACTTTATTGACCTGGTGGTGTGGGGTCACGAGCACGAATGCCTGATAACGCCAACCAGGAATGAACAGCAGCTCTTCTACGTTACCCAGCCTGGCAGCTCTGTAGCAACCTCTCTGTCTCCTGGAGAAGCTGCAAAAAAGTATGCATGAACATGCCCTAACATAGTGGACCAATAATTATGTTCACTTTAAAATGATTGTTGGTGCATTAACATTTTCCCGTGTATTAAGGCACATTGGTCTGCTGAGGGTGAAGGGCAAAAAAATGAATTTGGAGAAGATTCCCCTGAAGACCGTGCGTCAGTTCTTCATCCAGGATGTCGTCCTGTCTGACTACGAAGATCTCTTCACACCCGAGACACCTATGGTTACAAAGATGGTGGAGGACTTGTGCTCTGCCAAGGTATTGTAAAGTTCCTAAACATGAGATGCAGCTGTAAAACATATTACTCTGTGACTCCAGCCGTATTTCTTGTTTTTTTATTGTAGGTCATAGAAATGTTAGAAGACGCTGAGAGGGAAAGACTTGGATGCCCGCTTATCCCGGAGAAACCCCTGATTCGCCTCAGGGTAAGATGATACCTCAGGGTATTTATGCTATGGTGTCTAAACTGACAATAAACTGGACTGGGCTGAGAACAGTGATGCCCTCTACATCAGGTGTCACCAACTATATTTTCAGAGGACCAGATTATTCTGGGTTAGTGACGTTGTAGGGCTTCTTTCTCTCCAGGTGGACTACAGTGGAGGGTTTGAGACGTTCAACACTTCACGCTTCAGCCAGAAGTTCGTGGACCGTTTGGCCAACCCAAAAGACATCATCCACTTTCTCAGACGCCGTGAGCAAAAGGAGAACGTGAAAGGTCTGTTGGTCCGGTTGGTCTACAGTGGCGTTTTATTCCAAAATAGAACAGACTGTGAATGCAACACTCACTGTAACCAAGCAACATTGGCAACAATGTGTTGACCTGCAGTAAATGAATAGGGGTTTGTTAGGTACTGAAAAGGTTCATTTCAGCTTCTTTGATGATGAATTAGCTCTGATGTCAAAGTGCCAAATGTTTGAACTCCTTTTGTGATTTCTAGATGAATTCAGCGTTGATTACAACCAGCTGGTAAAACCAACCGCAGTTGAGGGACAAAGGGTGGAAAACCTGGTTAAACAGTACTTTGAAGCAACTGAGCAGGTACACTCCACACACACTGTACACTCATGACCGGTTTGTTAGGAAAAGGTGTTAATGTTGAATCGTACACAACACGAACACACTGGTTTGTTTGTTTGTTTGTGTGTTTACCTCTGCAGAAGGTGCAGCTGTTCCTGCT